AAACAGTTTCGCATTTTGCTCTTCGTACCTTTTTTTGGTTGAAATAAAGCTATGGGCGGCCAGATGTTTTGCGGGCAAACTAATAAAAAATTCAAACCATTAATAGGCAAGGTGATGTCTTGTTCGGTGACTCCATCGGTATGTTCTTCCCCAAAGGTCTTTACAAAATTTTTACCATCTGTCAGTCCAGAACGGTCATAAAATTTTATGTGCGTGAAGAAACTGGGCGAAAAAATCTACTCCGGTGTGTATTTTATCTGGATAGATCCAGGGACTGAGTTTCCCCTCTGAACCGCCAACCTTGCTCGCAACAATGGCGCAGCTGTCCGCTGTAATCCAAGGAGCCTGCTGACCCTGGCCTTGCGCCGGCTATGGTTCATCGGGGCACTCCTCAAGGCACACACACCACCCCGCGACCCACTTCGGTGAAGTTCAAGTTAGGACAACCGGCCCTGTTGCATTTATTTACTCGCTGAACTCTGCCTGACCTGCGTTGATTTCCCACACAGTCAAACCCGCCTTCTGTCCCCCCAACGGCACACATCCTCGTTTACATCGTTGCCTGGAACGTCAATTATTCAAAGGGGTGGGTTTTAAAATCGGTTGTGTTTTCCCCCTAATTTTCTCCCCATTTCTCCTGCAATGGAGCCCGAATTGGGGCGACCGTGCAGACATCAACAGCGCCCCACCCGACGGAAAGAAAAGCGATCGTCCGCCGGCGGTGCGTGCACTCACTCGGGCGAGCGAGGAGCGATGAACTCCGTGCCCTCTCTCGCTGGCTGCCTGGGCTGACTCACACGCACACACAACAGCTCTGGCTGGCAGGCGACAAAAATAGAACAGCGGTAAACAGGCGGCGCAGGCAGCAGGCAGCGGCATTCAAAGTCACGGTCGTGCGAAGGTCGAGGGCAGGCAACTGTGCCGCGGTTGAATCAATTGACCCAGAATTGTGCGCCCGCGCAGAGAGCTGGCTCCGGGTTCATCGCCTGCTATATGCTGATGAGACTGTGAGGTAAGAGTTCAGGCAGCCTCTGCCGGTGCGATGACGTTGACGAGCGAGGGGGTTGAATGGGGGAAAAGGGGAGAAAGAGGGGAGCAAGAAATGCCTTCTCCCCTGAAAATTCGATTAATCCCGTCCCCTCAGTGGAAACCTGGCCAATGTTATTCCGGCCGCGGCATCCCGAGACGCAAGGGTACGAGGTGGTCTCTCATCCGGAAGCGATGTAGCGCTAAGACTTGAATTCGAGTTCGAGGCGGAGGCATGGGGGAGAAAAAAAAGGGGGGGGAGGAAAAAAATCGATGAGGGGCTCGGCCGAGTGGAGCATTTTGTGGCAGGCGGCCGGGCCAGCCAGCGAGGCACGACAGGCTTATGATATACCAGGGGTTTGCTGTGCCGGGCTTGGGTTGGCTGGGGTCGGCACTGCTCGGCTGGGTCGCTGACCCGATGTGGCTCGGCATAGCGCTAGTTGAATGCACTTCCTGCACTTTTGACTCGCCAGTCTCCGGGCGGAGAGCACAGACGTCATTGTTACTATGGCTCGCTGAGTGTAGGATATAGATCCTGGGGTTTTGCAGCGCTGGCCATTACGGGCATGAAAAAAATATATATCACTCAGAAGGCTTGTTCAAGTAAAAAAAAATATCCCCGTTATTAAAACCAGAGACCTTTTATAAATTTTGCATCTGGAAAGAAACCGCCAGTTTCTGCTTAATTTCCTCTCGCCTGTGTTTATTATTTACATGTTGCGCAAAACAATCAACCCCCATCTTTTGTAATTACCGCGAGCGGTGCACATGCTGTTAGAAGGAGAATAAATGACCTGCGAAGCTGTGACAATCATCACCTTTGTCAGTGCGGGTTGTGACTGGATCAGAGTGGGTAGGGGAGGAGGGAGATGGAAGGGACGGCCGGACAGGCACGGGCCAGCGAGCGGGGGAGCGGGAGCGCTCGACGCGGGGAAAGCGGGTTAGCGGTGCCCCCAGGGCGTTTCAGCCCCGGCGCATGAGCAAACTCCCTTGTTGCCCGGGAAAGTGGAACGCGCGAACAACGACCCGGCCTGGCTGGATTTTTTTCTTCCTTTCCTCGGCTAAAGCTCGGGCTGAATACAGCTAAAGGCTTGCGGAGAAAAAAAAAGATCTGGCTGACCGGAGTATATACACCGGAAAATAGAGATGTCTGTCATGTAACAAACAGCGGCCAGGTCTGTGGACAGGGAAGATGGCGATTCAAAATGGCCGCTGGTGAGGCGGTCAGAATTCTTTATATAGCACGGACACGCACACTACAAGCTATTTCTGGTTTATTTTACGAAAGATAACATTTCTGAAGTTATTTCGATGACACAATAGGTTTTTTAACCTATGTGATGAGTGAAAAGGAGATTTAGATTTAGATGTTAAATGTCATAACATCTCTATTTGTGGGTGGTTGAAACTCTTCTCTAGATAGTTATGCTGATAAAGTAGTGGCTGACGCTCACAAAAGACAACACTCGCTGAAAATAATATCGTGTGCTTGCCATTACCCAACCCGCACCCCAGACAAGAAAAGTAAATAAATAAAAATAAGTAATTACAAAAATAAAATCACCCTCGGATGCGGTATTTACCTCTTTGGCCATGCCTTTTATTCGTACTGGACTAGAGACGAAAAATGACCATACACGTCTGCAGAACCGGCCTCGTGCCGTATGGAGCGTGTGGTCAATGTGGCGATTACGTAATAGCGCCACCGCCTGTCCGAAGCGGATTTCACTGACCAACTGTTTGGCTGGCCACTACCCTTACCACGGGATAGTAATGCCCAAAATTCGTTTTTGACTTTTCAAACCCCCAAAATGTCATCTTGTTTAATACCATGACTTGATTCCTTGAAGATGAACTTCAATTTCCCCAAAATAAGCCATTTTGATGAAGATTTTCATATGCGGCATCATTAACCGTGCAGCAATTCAACGACAGTTTCCTCAGAGGAATCCTGTTTATAAAGGAAATGAAAATCAAGTGCTTTCCAAAACCCATTTCCCAAATCCCAAAAGTCGTGAACAGTTTCTCTCCGATGAATAACCATGTACACCCATATTTTATTCTCAAAAATCCAGTATCATAAAGTTTAAAAAAGAACCGTAACTGCCGAATTTATAACGAATTTGAGCATCCACTGCTCCAAAAATTGTTTCTCAAAACGTGCAATGTATAATAGTTTTACGAGAGATTATTTCTTATAAAAAATTCAGGCAAATACCATGTTGATTTCAGATGGCACGTCCACGAACCCCGAATGAAATCAACAAATTGAAGCATTTTTTTGTGTGTTCTTGAGGAATGATTTATTAATTCAACCAGTGCCGACCCCACCCGTTCAGTCATGGCTAATGTAACACATCGGACTAAACTGTTAGCGTTGCAGCTAGGGCAAGAAAATAATAAATTATTAACTGGACCCCTACTCGCTTTGCCCGGTAAACGTGTTGATTGATGGACCCATTACAAATTCGTAATATTAATAATGTGATGCTTTGCTGCGCTTTGTCTTTATTGTTGTGGACCAAACTACGGTGCTTGGTAAGGGACAAACAAAGGGTGGGGGTACCGGACACAGGCATCGTTCTAGTTAATTTCAACTCGCGGGTGATTTGCTCACAGTCGACCGGACTATCTTCAATCGCTGGATAGAGGTGATCACTTTAACAGATGAGGTGTGAAGACTAAAGGGATTAAAGCGTTTGTAGAGACACATTTAGACAAAAAGATGGAGAACACGTGCAAGTAATCGACTGTTAATAATTATGTATTCAGTGTATGCTTCCGCTAACTCCAAACAAAATAAGTACATGTTTACATGTAGTACTTACAAATGTGCAAAAGGGAAATTGCAAGCTGAGAACAGGGGGGGGGGGAAAGCACACAGGATGACACCAAATCAGTGTATCTCTGGGTTCTGAGTTTATTCAAAATATTTAAATACACAAGACACAACACGGGAGCACATAGTATGCAGGCATATTCGAATAGCCGAACTGTGCGACAAATATTAGGGGGAAAGGAGTTGATATTATAGGTACTAAAACATTAGAAGAGTTTGGAGATACCTTAGGTCAACCAAAAACGGGAAGATAATCTGTTTATTCCAACAGAGGGTTATGTTAGAGGAGTTTGGAGATACCTTAGGTCAACCAAAAACGGGAAGATAATCTGTTTATTCCAACAGATGGTTATGTTTTGGTTCTAGTTTCTCTGGCGATTTAGTACCATTAAAAGAGACATGAGATTAAATAGACCAACATTCAACCATTGACTTTCTGAGAATGTCCCTATTATATTTAAAATAAAAATGCACTAAATTTTTAAGTACCCAAAATGTTGAATTGGCTTACAATGTCCACTTTTTGAGAAGAAATTAGTTGTATCGTGTCAAAAAGATTATCTTGCGCAATCTCCAACTTGGGAGAAATTTCACAGCTCCTAGAAAAAAAACATACACTTCACCGCAGTCGCCCGCCCTTAAATAGATCGCGGCAGAAATCTGGGTCTGCGAGAGTTTGAAGAAAAGCGGCGGAGACGAGTCCTCTGTGTTCCCCGATCCATCGTTCGTGACATTGAAAAAAGGGAGGGGAGGTGTTGGTCATTCAACCTAACCCCACACTGCACTGCACCCGATGTACCTGTGTGCTCGTCATGAATAAGTAACAACGGCTGCACTTTGCGGCCGCCGTAGCATTACTAATCGCACTGTATTTATAGCCTAGTTTCACTCCGTTTTGAACTCGCGGACCCCGAGTCATTTCATCACAACACACACACCGTGTACGCTGCCCACATGTGCTCACGTACATGTACGTACGGACGGAGCTGTCGCATTGTGGCCGTGATTCCGTAGAACCGTGCGCTTTCGGCTCTCACCAGGAAAAGATTTGGCTACCTTCGAAAAAAAAGAAAACTCCGGATTTCTTGATTGTTACTCGTAGATCGGGAGCCTGGCTTCGTATAAAGGTAGGACCATTCTTGATTGGACTCTCTGTGTCGGTGTGGAGAGGACGGTGGTGTTTTAAGTGTCTTTTTTGTTGTTGTTTGGAGATCGGACGAGAGGTTTTTTTGGTTACCCGGCGAGCGAGAGTCCTGTCCGCGGTAATCTTATGAATGTAGGCCACGGCGCTTGTTGGCCGGGGCTGGGGTCGATGATCGCGGAGCACTGCCCTCCACAGAGTGCGCTAGCAGCGCCGGGGCACGGCTTGCTCGCGGTAGTTGACTGGAAACCACAGCTCCTGCCAGCTCGAAACACCGTGATCAGCCGCTTGCCATAATAAATCGGCGTCTGAGAAAGGTTGGAAAAGCTGCTGAAAGTCTCGGCCACGATCAAGGTGATTCAAGTTGCGCATCGTCATCGGCGGGGAAAGAATCACAAACATCTTTACTGCTGGAACAGGTAAACAAGAGAACGGTTTTTCGCGATTTGCGGCAGTGTACAGTACATACACTTCCCTTGTTCGACCCGGTGCCGATGCGACACACAACAGAACGGGTGAGGATTTGTTTAGAAAGGAAAACCGTTCCTCCCCCTCTGCAATTTGTTTCAGTACAGTTTGAAGTTATTAATTAATGCAACAGCTATACCGACGATCGGCGAGCGAGCCCGAGCCACCATGATCAGATGAAGAGCCTGTGACTGTGAAGGGAGAATGTCCCCCCGTATTGCCATAGATCTGCTTCTCGACCGGGTAGCGTCTGTCCCCTACATGGGTGCTTGCATCGCCGAGAAAAATCGAAGTATCATTCTACAGTGGTCATTGGATCAACTTTGATTCGACTGCAATGAACCGGACTTTGCTAGAAAACCTCTCCGTGTGAACTTATTGAGCAAACATCTCCTTAGAAATAGTCGGTCCAGTCTTAGTTTTCTTGTCGAAGGTTGGTTGATTTTTCGTTTGGGTAGATAATGTTTATTTTCCGCCCACCAGAGGTTTGGTGTGAACTTAATCAGAAAACAGTTTGTTTTATGCACAGGCAAAGTGTACGTGTACATGTACATGTATGTCAGTGTTAGTGTACATTGAAATAAGAAATGACCAACCTTTGCTTGGCTTAAAAATAAACTCGATTATTTGTGGAAAAAGTAAAGTGGCATGTGAAATGCAAATATGGTATATACCCTGTATTTTATAAACATCATATAACCAATGCAAATTTGATAATGCAAAAGCAAACTCTGACTCTTCGGGGGATTAGGCACATCCCTGTAAATGTTTGGAAAAAGAACCAGTCATTTGAAAGGGTTGAATATTCGTTTCAAACATTAACCGATGGTGACCCAGAATTCCTTGTACTTTTTGGTTATTTATTTATTTGTATATTTAGCTTTTCCAGCAGCCTGTCCCACCTTGCTTGTAATATGATAAGTTGGTTGCCGGTTGTGGTTCATGCCCGTTTGGTTTCTAAACATCTGTTGAACTCTGACAGAAAAGGAATGGGGAAGGGGGGGGCAATTGCTGGCTTTCAACAGAATGGCATGTTGATGAATGTTCTGGGCTCAGGCACAAGCCCTCAAGGTCACATGGGTGAACTCTTGAGCTTATTTTAGAACCCATGGAAATATGCCAAGTTCTGGGCTTATCCCCCTCAGTCTTGGACCTCAAGTTTCTAAAGAATTTTTATCTCTCTCACATTTCTTTTTTTTTGTGGGGGGGGGAGTAAGACACATGGTGGTCTTGTGTAAAGTCTTGTGTCATCAGAAGGTCACTGTTTCACATGTGGTGTCAGACTCTGCACTGGAGAGAGATACATTTTGAGCCCACTCGTGAACAGTTACGAAATTACACTTAATAACAGATAACAGGAGTTGTTTTCAGACAGGTTCACATATAGGCAAGTTTGTTTTGCTTTTGCACTAAAAATAGGCCTTTTTTGTACTTATTACCTCCATTCAAATTTCAGTTGATTTCCGGATACACAGTACCGACAGAACATAATCTTGAATATGTCTACAATAATGTGTTTCGTTAGAAACCTCTAAAAACAAAAACAAAACCCCCAAACTGGACCTCTTGGTAGATTTTTATGTGTTTGAGTTTTGGGTACCCTGATATGAACCATCACTTTGTTTTCCTCAAATATGTGACTGGAAATTATCGATGGATGTTGCTGGTGTAGGTTTCGCTGCCACCATTTGTAATATTTTTGTGCATGCCTTCAGGCAAGATTTCCGTCACTTCAAATAAATTTGTGAAATGACCGATGACGTATACTCCATTCATTCGGAGGGTCGCTTTTAGCAGTCCATTTGGTCCGTCAGTCTGTCAGTCCCTCATTTAAAGCACAGGAACAATCTTGCAGTCGGTGTGATGCATAATTAAAGAAAGACCGCCCTTCCTGCACACATCAGATTTTTTTTTCACATTTCAATCGAGGGATGGCTTGCCTAGAAATGGTCACTTGAAAAAGCTGCACTTGGGAAGATGGAGTCTACTTTTGTTTCTGCCGTTTGTGATTTATTATTAATACGAATGGAAAGAAACACTTTGCTATATACCCCCTGAAATTGTGAATGCTGCGTGGTTTTGCTGTGTAGTGTTTCCCTGTAATATGTGAGTCAACTCAGTTGAGTGCACCATATTAACAAGCTGTTCAGCGACACACATACACAACCCTGAGTTGATATTTTACCAACCTGTTCCGCTGGCTCCTTTTGATCCATGGCACAGTTTATTATGAATTTATGATAGCCACCAAACATCTGCATTTCGAACCTAAAAAAATACAAATGGCCACTGCACACTATCAGATGAGACAAGCAGTACTGTTGTGTCGTGCCTGTTAAATATGTAAGGATATGTAATATACATGTATTTATGTTCTGAGAGTTTCATTTCAAAACTGTGGTGGGTAATCGGAGGAACCGTTTGATGGAAGGATTATCATATTTCATGGGATTCTCCAGTTTTTCTCCTAATTTGAAGGGAATTATTCATACCTGAATTGCCTACTAACCAGATCATGAAACTAAATTTCTCTTTTGCATTAATTTTTATGATGTTATGAATTTACAGTTCAGTTATTGTGCCTTTCAGAGATCCAACGTTCTGAGTTTGTAGTTGCATTTCAGTTTAGTCTGCAGTTTACACCTTATGTACATGTACTCTAGTGGCAAGCAAAGCCAGTAAGAGACTCAACAAGCTCAATTAATGACAGCAACCAAATGTTGAAAAATGATGTCCTCATGTTAGTCATCTGTCGCAGCACATTATTTTTGCCTGGTGAGAAGACACTTTCCACAAAGTATTTTTGTCTTTAGAACAAATTTTTTTTTCACTGATAGAACGTGTTCTAGGAAAACCATTTACTTGCACTTTCAACTTACACTTTCACTGAAATATGCCGACATTTTTCTGTTGAAGAGTTTTTTGAGCAAACTGAAGCAACTTGACTTTTATGGCAACTTGTACTGTACTTCATATGGCAGAATAATGCACCGGTAATCTGTTTCAAAATTATACAAACGTAATTACGAACTACCAATCAATTGTTTTCTAGAAATTCTCACTTCTTTCTTTGTGCCAGCCAAAGATCGTATAGCGCCGAAGGTACAAGATGGATAACTCTGCCCAAAAGCAAGCGATACGCCTGTGCAGTTAACGGTTATGCTGTACGGCGCAAGCTCACCAGGTGCACATGCCTGCTGCGGCTCCTGTGCCTGTGCATTAATGTGCATTGCACAGGCGTATCGCTTGCTCAAATGGCGCCCATGCGATTACAACGTTTTACGTGCATTCATGGTGAAGTTCTGCATCTTGTGCCACTTCGCGGCGCTATACGATCTTTGGTGCCAGCACGCATTTCAGTGTACCACTGCTGTCCATTATGGTTTCCTAACGAATTTAATGATTGCATTTAGCTGTTTCAGCAGAGTTCCCAAAGGAAAATCAAATGAAATTTGGTGCAGTACCATTGCAAATTTGCCAGGTTTGCATGCATGTTTGGCAGCTAACAGGTGATAGTACTATTCATGTGCAATGTGTACTTTCATTCAGCAGGTTCACAGAACAGACGAAATGAAGCGCTGCTCTATAGATATTGACTTTCCCAACGGGACCTGCCTCAATTCCAAATCACCAAAGATGGAAGTTGTCTGCAATAACAACAACAACGAGCCAGTTTTCAAGAAGTTGCCGCCCACAAAGCGCTGGAGTGGTCTGTACAAAGGCAGTGACGACCGCCTGTCCATCTCCCCGTTGGCTAAGAGCCCCGGACGGGATGAGGTGTTCATGTGCGAAGAGTCGACCGTGGACGGCATCTCCATGCACTGCCGCCCGCCGCTGCCCCCACCCCCGTTACTGATGGTGCCCAACCTGATCCCACCGTCCCCCGCCTCTACCTCCAGTGCCCCGGAGGGCGGGCTGCTGCTGAAGGCTAAGCGCCCTTCCCTAGGGGGCGTGGACTCCCCAATGTGTGCCATCAGCCCTTTCTCCGTCCTGTCCTCGCCCAGCTGCCAGCCCTCGCCCACGCCCAGTCTTCCCACGCCCAGTGCGTTCCTCCCACCCTCGTTGCCCGGCGGCAACTTCCTTTTTCCGCCGTTCACTGCCGGCATCCCGCTTTCCTCTGCCTCCTCACGTTTCCCCTTCCCACCGCAACTGCCATTCCAGCCCCACCAGCTCCTGCGGGAGAACGAACTCAAGCTGCGCTCGCAGTCGGAGAGCGCCGTCTCAGGGCTGGACAGTCAGGGGCATAGCGAGGAGAGCAACTCGGATGAGGACGACTCCCTGATGCTATGCAGCATCTGCTGCGACAAAGCTACAGGCCTGCACTACGGCATCATCACATGCGAGGGGTGCAAAGGATTCTTCAAGAGAACAGTTCAGAACAAACGGGTGTACACATGCGTTGGCAGTGGGAACTGTGAAGTCACAAAAGCGCAACGAAATCGATGCCAATTTTGCCGATTTCAGAAATGTTTACAGATGGGCATGATGCTCGAAGGTAGGTCTAAATTCAAATTCCATTTTTTTGGTACATACATGTAATTTGTTAGTCAACTGAATCCTTTGCCCTATCTTTGGCACTATCAACTTCAGAAATTTTAGGTACTGTACAGTTTAATCAGGTTGCCTAAAAACTATTAAAAGTTTGTAGCATTTAAAAAAAAAACAAATTTCCTTTTTTTTTCGAAGTGTGAATGGTAGTTTTAATTCTAGTTCACGTTTACAAACCTCACACTTTCTAAGTTTCAACAAGGTCTAACGTGTTTATCGAACATGGCGTACATGCTTGAAGGCCATTATACGAAAGTGAAGAATCTTAAGACCAAGCAACTTGACAGCATGACTGCATATGTGCCTAAACTGAATAAAACCGTAGAAAAACATGAATCACGTTCATTTGTAAAGCTCCTTAATGACAATTTTCCTTCCCATTTCCCAATTCCCCTCCACCTTGTATTATTGTGGCAAATCGCCCCAGTGACTTTTTGAACCCCCGGCCTTTTTAGAGCTCATTTTCCCCCCCCTTTTTTTTATCAAACTATCTGGGCTTGTTTTTCTGTTTGGGAAACATCTGTCAGGGCTCACAAGACCTCAGAACGAAGGCAATGATTCATGTCAGGTGAGGGAGCCAGGCCAATCCCACCAGTGAATAGGTCTTAGTCTGCAATGTCTCTGTACGCGTACTGCCAGGACGCTTTCCATTTTGCATGGAAGGCCTACATTTCTAATTGCTACTGCTGTCCAAAGACGAGGGGAAAAGAACCCGAAACTGCATGTGACAAGTGTACCTCTCTCTCATGTGGAAAAAAGTGAAATAAGAAGGGCAGCTGCCACAACTGCATTGCCTTTGTTCATAGAAACAAATCTGAATTACCCTCTGAAGAATGAAAAAACTCTGCTTTCCAAAATTGTATACTGCCAGGTTGTAAGTGGGTCTATTTTAGTAATTGTTTGTTATCTTGTGAAACTGCCACCTACAGTACATGTTACATGTAGGTTGACAGGGTATTGCACTACAAATTTGGTTGGTGTGGCATTTGAAATCAAATCAGGAAAATGCTGTAGTGCATGGAATTATTTTGCTTGAAAAAGTCCCCGACAGACAGGCTCCATTTTGAAAAGAGAAGACAAAAATAAAACAAGTGTTTGGTGCTTCATGTCATATTACAGTATCCATTATAGCGACTGCGTGGCCCTGTACGTGGGTAATTCTGGGAAGTTGAAGTGAAACTTGAAAACATCTTGCAAAGTGCACATTGATTTATTGTCTTTGTGTGTGTGTGTGCCGCGTGTGGGGGGGGGGCATTTAGTGTTGCCCTGTGATCCAGTACCCTCATGTTGGCATCAGCTTGTTCCCCAGGGATAGGATTTCTCAGTGTTTTTGAGAGTCTTTGTGAGAGTCGTGGTCATGGAGGTTGAGATTTTTGCTCTTCTGTGCATGTACCTGTTGTTAACAGCTTACTCGCAAACCTCAGTCATTATTTGAGAGAGAATCTACCGATAGACTTGTTAGCAGTTTCAAATGTAGAACACATTCTTCAATTTCAAAGAGTTGTTTTACATGGACATGTAAGCCTTGCAGACAACGTGCTACCTGTCAAAAAAAAATAGTTTGAAATTGATTAATTTCAATTATATTTCAAGATCAAACTGCACAGGTCAGGTGTAAAAGGTACACAACAATGTCGCACTTTTGGACTCCCAATTTATAGAATGACACACAAAGACTAAACAATTCCACACCCTTTCTCAATTTTTCCTGTTATTGTTCTTGTTTTTTTCTGTCCTTGGGGTGTTGTTGTTTTGGCTGAGACCCTGGCCCTTACATGTAAGTGTCCACATTTTGTCCCCCGCAATCCTTCCAGCCTCCTTCTCTGTTTCAGTCTCCTTCGCCATGGTGGTTCTGGGTAACCATTAGCCTTGTGTTGGCAACAGCGTAGGCTGGCCACAAAACAATATGGTCAGTTCTTGGGAGTCAAGGGGCCCAAGATTTTGAGACTTAGCCTCTAATAACACTGTCTGACCTTGAGACCTGTTGTTGGTTGGGGAGAGTTGTGCCTGGTTACCAGACACTCCAGCCTGTTGCACAACAATGGTCAAGAGTACACAAAAGAGCCAGATTACAGTCTAGCGTCCTTGAGCCTTGGTCATTTGAAAAACCCAGGGGTTTCTTTGTATGGTGGGTGTAAGCCTTATTTATTGATTCCTTTGGTTCATCTAAAGGAAAAAGACCCTGAATTTTTTTTGTGTTTTCGTTTCAAGTTTTATCAAGGATATTGCATAACGGATAGCTATAACACTGACTGCATCAGGGCCATTAAAATTTTTTACACCCAAATGCGTCATTGGATTGTAAATGAATGGTGCTGCTGGTGGCCTAAGGTACAATGTACATGGAGTTGTTAAGTTGGGAAAAGGATGGGATAGAAAAAATTTGAAGGACCGGCTGTTTGCTCCTAACAAAGCAGGAAGTATGACTTTGCTGGTATGCCAGGAGTTGGGCTCCTGCATTTCTAGGCTGCAGGTGAGACCCTCTCTGAAGGCCGTAGAATTGGTACATTGCCAGAGTCTGCTAAGCTGAATTGTCATGCAGTTTGCATGTGACATCATTAGCACTGAAGCAGAAAGTTTACCTCATTCTTTCAGCAAAGCCGATATTCTTTTGGACTTTTTTCACCTGGCCACACCCCCAATTTAATATAAAAGCTACTGGGAAACCCAAAACCCAAATAAAAAATGAAAAGAAAAGAAAAGAAAACCTCGTCCCTTTTTCACACCCCTCCATGGCTGGTGACATTGAGAATGGTATCACCTGGCTTGCTGCTGGCCAGCTTTGTCAGACATGTTACGTAACAAAGCATTAGCATGTCCCTGAGTCTGTCTGACTCTATAGGCAATAAGCTCCTCTCTGGCCAGGTGATTGTAAATTTCAGTTTCCTGAGAATCAACTAAGTAGAAGTTAGGAAAAGACTTATTTTTTTAAAGTGGTTTTGCCCATGGTTTATAACCATTGGTTCAATAATTGCTAAGATGCCGTGGTTAATATTTTCTTCTCAAAAGTATATGAATCATATTTATTTCCCTAATATTGTAATCACTGGTACGAGTTTGTCACAATCTGAGGTAATTTGGCATTTGTTAAATTCAGGGAATTTGAAATTGAATGTAACAGCTGGTCTTTGGCTAGAACAATACCCTTTCTGCCTTTGGGGTTTGCAATGTACATGTACTGATGTCAACAGACATGTACATGTACAGTATAGTACATGTACATGTACATGTAGTTAATTGTACATTGCATTGACCAATGTAAAATTGCAGAATTTAAGGGATGGAAGTTTAGTTTTTGTTGTCTGGGAACAATTTTTACATGTTTGGAGATAATTTTCAAGTTCTGGTGTTATACATGCAAAGGGGATGAGAATATGTGAAGCCTAATTGTATGCTGTGTGTGTGGTCATGCAAAGCCTATTTGCCCCGACATAAAAACCAAACTTTCAGCAGGACCTTCATGGTCAGTGGTTGCCAAACCTTACTTTCTCTTGTCAGCCATCTAGATTAATTCCTATCCAGTCATGTGTGATGTCCTCTCTGGGACAGCTAATGACCATCTACCCCATGGCCTTATTTTTTTAATGACCTCAGCTACCAGTAGCTACAAACCCTTTTGACTTCAAGATAAAATAGGCCTTTTCCCCTATGGTGGTGGAAATCTTGTTCTGCGTTTTGCTTGTGGGAGAAAGCCCTGCAAACTAATCTGTAGTGTCTTGTCATCACTCCCAAAATTTACCAAGTGACTTTTAGAGTAGACTGGACGAAACTGACTACAAATCTTGGTGGCAGTCAGTAGTACTAGTAGTATGCCTAGCCAATAGCTTGGGTGTGATTTCTGGTTGTGTCATTCGAAAATTGAAAAAGTCCAAAATACCAATCTGTCATGTGATGGTTACATTTCTTTTGAGAGAGGCCTTTCTTTTAGGAAGCTGGCTTGACGGTTTCCCCCAAAACCTCCACGAAATGAGTTGAAAAAACAGGGTCTGAAACTTTTCAGCCCCACCCGGAACCACAAAAGATGACCTTCTGCAGTGCATGGGAAGCGCATCACCAGTGCTTTTCCGAGAAAATAGAAGATAAATAAAATCTGGTACAAGGAAATCCTGAATAGCGAAGGCATTGGTTAGTCATGCAGCCACTCAACATTTATGAATCTAGAAACAAAATACAATTTGTACAATTATTTACATATACTGGCTGCATGTACATGTAGACTTTCCAGTACGTAAGCTGGAATAAGCTTTAAAGTCTAAAATTTAAAGACCTCTTTTAGAGATGTGACGTTTGTAATTTCTAGGGTAGAAATATGAATTGGGCGTGACTTTTGTTTGCACTAATATCAATATTGCATACGGTGTAGCTCTTTTTCAGGCAAGGAAAGAAATTTATAACTTTCATTAGTAATAAACATGGAGAAAATGTATATTGTTAAGGGGAAATTGCTGTCTTTTCGACAGTTGTTAATAGACAACAATTGTCCCGCACTATTGATAAGGTAAAATATTCACACATACCAATAGCCTTTCTCAAATGGACAGTTCTTGGTTTAACCATCAACTAGAGTACAACTTACTTGTCATTTTGTGGTGTTTTTCCTTAACTTACAAGGTGTTTGTGCAACCATTCAAGCTGGAATCACAACCCCCTTTTTGAATTACTAAACACAAAGACAAAAAGTTGATAACAGACCTCCCTGGATACCAATGCATTGTTGGATTTAATTTTCAAACCAACATGCCAGCTCATTTTGAAAATTACTGTTTAAACTGCAGTTTCATTGTCATTAATTTCATTTATTTATCTTGCAGATCAAAATTGATCTCTTCCGTTCTTTTCCTCCTTTTTTTCTTTGCAAGCAGGATCCTCTGTTTAGGATCCTTCCAGATTAAAAATCAGATTACCATCAAACAATTTGACAGCTAATGTTGGCTGTTAAGGATCCTT